CTGGTCATTTTAGTCAGTCGGTTTGGAGAGGCAGACAACCAAACATTTTTTAAAGATGGCCTATTTCTACACTTCATGGACATTAGCTCAATCATTGGATTAGGTAGTCTGAGAATCTAAATTGAAATATCAGACAGAACAAAATAAAGATGAATTCTAAGTGACATCAATTCATACTTTAATGAGTTTACAGAGTACTTCTGATTTCACAGAAAAGGCAAATTCTGCAAAATGACATAACACTGTCATAAATATTTGTCAAGAACAGGGAAAAAGAAACAATGCTACAGTGATTGATGTATCTCATTGATATCTATGAAATAATAATTTAAATATATCAAAATTTCTCCTTTTTAAAATCAAAATACAAGAAAAAATTAAAAGATTATAAATGTAAACAATTTTAAAATAAACTACATGTATTTGTGAAAGATTTTAATTTTAGTAGATTACTAAACTGGTCTTATCATTTCTACTGAATTAACAACCATACAATTTCCAAATGTCATGTTTTAAACTGTTACCGTAGAATAATTATACATGTTCATTGCAGCTTTATTTACAAAACTCATCAGTTTTCAGAAATACTTATTTGAGCATTTGGGTCCTGATAAGAACAAAATTTAATGAATAAATATTAATCTTAATTGTTCATGTATTGATTTCCTTGCAATTTTACAAATACTTTTAAGAAACTTGTTACAAGTAAGTATACACAAAAGCAACCTTCAATTAATACCTATGATGTATACATTTATTTTACTGAAAACAAATTCAAAGATGGAAAAACACTGCATGCACTGCAATCATCATATACATGTACAAATTTTCTAAATATATGGAAAACAGCATGTATATACTAGAAAGGATGTTGTTTAACATTAAATTTTCTTCTATAATCTATAGACATATAAAAATATGCATTGGGTATAACAAGTCAGAAGTTCTTCTCCAAATCTCCATTGGTTTTGCCATGTCTGGTTCAACATCTTAGCTTGATCCATCCAACTTTCTTTAATATTCTTGAGCTGATATGGGATGACTTCTACTTAGATTGATGGCACAAATCTTTTAAGAAAACACTGAAGTACTTTTTTTTGGTTCTTATCTATTCCAATTAATGATCCATGATCTGAAATCATATGTGTTCATTTTTGCAATAACATTTAAGGAATTGCATTTTTGGAATTCCATAAAGGAATTGCACTGAGTTTCATTCACTCAATGAAATGAATAAATTTCCAATATAATCAATGAAGAATCAATATGAAATTATTGTAAAATTTACAGATTGAATTAGTGAAATGCAAATGCTTGATCAAGAAAATTAATGTTCTTGTCATGCACAATCTGTATCTCTTTTTTATTAATTAGAAAATAGATATTAATTAAAAACAAACCTCATTTAAAAAGGTAACTTGAACAATTGAATACCTGTTCCAATAATGTTACAAATATTAGGCCTAAAAATCAAGGATTGTATTTTTCATAATTTCTTGAATGAATTATTTTTTGGCAATGTTGGGATATTAGTCACATCCTGACATCCTTGTACCGTTTATTCATCGTTTTTAAATCCGTAGTCAGTAGATCATTCATAACTTTCCGTAAAAAGAATAGTTAAATAATTACGGTTTACCTGATGAAAATACTATCAACATCAAACTGTCAACATCATCATTGGACATGGTCAAATGCATCGTGACTTTTCTTCCCTGTTCGGACTGCATATAGGGCATTATCCTGTTATTAGCATCGCGATGCGAATAATTTTTGACGTTGTTGACGTAAATAAAATTATAATTTTGCGAGCTTAGAATTAAAAATTTAGTCTTTAAACAACAATATTTATGGATTTTATGCTTATTCCGTTAATTCCCACTCTCTGTCATCGGCTTATACATAAGTCATGTCTGACAGAGGAACGAAAGACAACTCTGCATGGGAAATTTGTTACTTCCGTGATATTTTTAGAAATAACCTTATTCTCAAGTACGGTATAAAAAATAATGCATTTTTGATAATTCGGAATAAATGTCTTCATAAACAAAACTATAAATTATATAACTAAAAAATTCAATATATATGTACTTTATTTTGTTATAAATGAGTTGAGATACATATATAACGGAATAAATGTCTTCATAAACAAAACTATCAAAATTTATTATATGAACTTTATTCCGTTATATAAAAAAGTTGAGATAAATGTATTAACGGAATAAATGTCTTCATAAACAAAACTATACTGCAAAATTCAATATATGCACTTTATTCCGTTAAAAATAAGTTGACATAAATATATTACGGAATAAATGTCTTCATAAACAAGCTATCAAAATTCAATACATTGTATATGCACTTTGTTCCGTTATAAATAAGTTGAGATAAACATTTAACGGAATAAGCGTCTTCATAAACAAACTATCAAATATCAATATATGCACTTTATTCCGTTATAAATAAGTTGAGATAAACATTTAACGGAATAAATGTCTTCATAAACAAAACTATCAAAATTCATTATATGTACTTTATTCCGTTATGTAGAAATAAGTTGAGATAATTGATAACGGAATAAATTCCAAGGTCTTCAAAAACAAAACTTTCAAAATTCAATATACCCCGGACGGTATGCACTTTATTCCGTTTAATGTCTTCATATACGGAATAAATGCTATCTATTGCGATTACATGTAAATGCACAATACATTTTAGTACTCTCATTTATTCTTTTTCTGATCATGCAATTTCATTCATAAAGTAACATATTTAAAATTTCCATATCGGATATTTTATCTCTGCACGGATTTCAATGTACAATGTATTCCAGAACAGGTTAGGAAGTAAAAGTCCTTTGTTTGTACGTTGCGTGACAGTCTGAGTGTAAAGAAATCCCGCACGCTTCAGTAGAGGTAGAACATTGAAGAATCGCTCATCACGATCGTCTACTACACTTTTAAGAAAACTGAATGCATTGTGAAACTAAAAAAAATATGTTGTAATCTTCCCTCTTTGTGAGGCTTATGATCTTGATATTTGGAAACGTCGTCTCTCTATATATACTTCTGTTATTAGCATCGCGATGCGAATTAGTTTTCGGGTATTAAAATGTTCTTCGTCTCTCTATATATACTCCTGTTATTGGCATCGCGATGCTAATTAGTTTGGAGGTATTTTATCCATTAAAACGAGTCATTTTAAGAATGATCCCCCCAAAAAAGCCAAGCCCCATTTTTTTCTGATGGTATCCCCCAAAGAAACCCTTTTCCCGGGAATACTTCCCTTTGTGGAGCTTATAATCTTGATATTTGGAAACGCCGTCTCTCTATATATACTCCTGTTATTAGCATCGCGATGCGAATTAGTTTTGCGGTATTTAAAATGTCCCTCGTCTCTCTATATATACTCCTGTTATTGGCATCGCGATGCTAATTAGTTTGGAGGTATTTTGTCCATTAAAACGTGTCATTTTAAGAGTGATCCCCCCAAAAAAGCCAAGCCCCATTTTTTCTGATGGTATCCCCCAAAGAAACCCTTTTCCCGGTAATACTTCCCTCTGTGGAGCTTATAATCTTGATATTTGGAAACGTCGTCTCTCTATATATATACTCCTGTTATTAGCATCGCGACGCGAATTAGTTTTCGGGTATTAAAATGTTCTTCGTCTCTCTATATATACTCCTGTTATTGGCATCGCGATGCTAATTAGTTTGGAGGTATTTTATCCATTAAAACGAGTCATTTTAAGAATGATCCCCCCAAAAAAGCCAAGCCCCATTTTTTTCTGAAGGTATCCCCCAAACAAAACCATTTCCCGGGAATACTTCACTTTGTGGAGCTTATAATCTTGATATTTGGAAACGCCGTCTCTCTATATATACTCCTGTTATTAGCATCGCGATGCGAATTAGTTTTCAGGTATTTAAATGTCCCTCGTCTCTCTATATATACTCCTGTTATTGGCATCGCGATGCTAATTAGTTTGGACGTATTCTGTCCATTAAAACGTGTCATTTTAAGAGTGATCCCCCCAAAAAAGCCAAGCCCCATTTTTTCTGATGGTATCCCCCAAAGAAACCCTCTTCCCGGGAATACTTCCCTTTGTGGAGCTTATAATCTTGATATTTGGAAACGTCGTCTCTCTATATATACTCCTGTTATTAGCATCGCGGTGCAAATTAGTTTTCAGGTATTTAAATGTCCCTCGTCTCTCTATATATACTCCTGTTATTGGCATCGCGATGCTAATTAGTTTGGAGGTATTTTGTCCATTAAAACGTGTCATTTTAAGAGTGATCCCCCCAAAAAAGCCAAGCCCCATTTTTTCTGATGGTATCCCCCAAAGAAACCCTTTTCCCGGGAATACTTCCCTCTGTGGAGCTTATAATCTTGATATTTGGAAACGTCGTCTCTCTATATATACTCCTGTTATTAGCATCGCGGTGCGAATTAGTTTTCAGGTATTTAAATGTCCCTCGTCTCTCTATATATACTCCTGTTATTGGCATCGCGATGCTAATTAGTTTGGAGGTATTTTTTCCATTAAAACGAGTCATTTTAAGAGTGATCCCCCCAAAAAAGCCAAGCCCCATTTTTTCTGATGGTATCCCCCAAAGAAACCCTTTTCCCGGGATTACTTCCCTCTGTGGAGCTTATAATCTTGATATTTGGAAACGTCGTCTCTCTATATATACTCCTGTTATTAGCATCGCGGTGCGAATTAGTTTGGTACGTGGTATTTAAATTATTTTTTTCCTCTAAATTTTACTTCAAACAATTTAAAATCATTAAATGTTGAAATATTAAGTCATTTAACGCTTCTGACGTAACGTAAAATAACGTCAAAAATTATTAGCATCGCGATGCTAATAACAGGATAATGCCGCATATAGCATAATACGAGTACTTTACAGGATACTCTCAGGTCTTTTCTTTTTTCTTTCCCATTCTTGCTTAAAATTTTAGTGTAGTGGTGAAGCGAGAAACAGCACAATGCGTCAATGACTTTCTTCTGATCGGCCGTGCAACTTGCCACGTTCCATATCGAAAATAAACAAGTCCTCCTTTATTGGTTCATCCACATATATCACGCTAATCTCAAAGGCTTCTAAGATTCCTATGCTTTGATTTGTTATAAGACTTTCTCCTGAAAACATCCTTTGTTTTAGTCCTAACAATAAGTGACAACAAACATCAAGTATGACAGAGGAAATTCGTTTCCGAGTGAATGCTTAGCATCGCTGGTTTAAATTCGCCTGTTTCAAACGCTTTGGTGACTCGCAAGAGTTATCTCCCTGTAAACGCAAACCTTACCTTAAGATATAACGGGATATCTATGCTACAGATGTAAAATATAGAGCTCTAAATATAAATTTACCTGTAAAGGTGCTCTGTATTACGTGTAAACAAGTCATAATGTATTTGTCTCCCATACGGAATCCTGTTCCTGTAGGATGCCCGTCAATGAAAATCATTCCAACACTTCTGCTGACTTCAGCTTTAAGCTCACTTGTCATCACATCTCTCTGAAACGTTGTCTTGGAAAAGGGATACAGTGGTCCTGTCTTCGGTAAATTTGTCTTCGGCTATATAAAGTATATCAAATTATTGTATTGTATTATATTAGATGTATTATTGTATAATTGAAACTTAAGATAAAAGTCACCAGATAGTCTTCCACATTTGTTGCATATTTCTATGTTTTTTTATGTATAGACGATAAGAGCTAACTTAAAAGTGAAGATAACAAACAGATCGTTCTAAAAAATCTAGGGTTATGGTTAGGCTGTGGAGTAGCATCCATTGTTAATGGGTCATACCCGCCATACATGTATGTATTGATGAGATAGGCGAACTTTCCGAAGTCAATTCTGTACAAAAATAAGGACCTTGTTTTAATTCTGACTATGACATGAAATATATGGAGATATCGAACTGTATTTTAAACTTAGGAGCAGAGCAAACACGGACCTCCAAAACATCAGAAGTTTGACAAGGTGTTATTGAGAAGTGAGCAACGCTATTGACAAGTCGCACCCGCCGTGTGTTCCTTGTCATGATCAGGAAAAACAGAAAATCTTACTATAATTTAGATATATAATAGCATAACATTTACTATGAAAATCGTCAGTCAATGTTTGTCGTAAAGATAAATTGTGTTTGCTGACAAAATCATTGTATCGACTATAGAACTTATGGAATGAAGACTTAAAATAAGACTAATACAGGTATTCTTTTTTCAGCATGCTAGATAAAGTTAAAGTATCTCCTCGGTTCACTATATAGAAACCATTATATGAAAAGCACAATTCCCCTTAAGAATTTGTAGAATAATATGGTCTGAATTTCAATACAATTCTGTTTTATATCATAACTCATTCAAATAAATTAAATAGTATAAACGTAACTGAAAACAAAATTATCATTTTTATTCACGAAGTGTGAAGAAAAATTTTATACAATAACCTCTGAATCTGTTGAAATATTTAAATAATTCCACTCCTGCGCTGAACTCTTTATGTGTGAATGGCATTGCGAAGGCTTTGATTCCTCCTTGGAAAAAGAAGAGACATATTAGCTTTGTTAAATATCTTGGGTTTTTTTCTCTCTCTATTTCTCATTCATGTTTTTTGGAAAAGTTTTTATAATCATCGTTTTTTACCATGGATTATTAAAACCATCATCTGAATTTGATATTTAAAGGAGAAGGGTGGAGACACAGGAAGCTTAAGGAATGTTGATTATACAGAAAATCATTTCAATATATATATTATTAATATAACTGAAAATAAGTATTCATGCTGAAATATTCAAAACATTGTTTACATTAAGGTCACGAACTATTGTTATGTAATTTCCTACTTTTTTCTCTGTTTCCTGTTTCCAGAATCGCAGAGTACTGTAAACGTTAATTTCGTGTTTTTCATCAATGGGACAGCTGCATTGGATCGTTTCATTTTCTATTTCGAACAATTCACTCTCAGGAATAAATGACGGATCCTTTTCATTGCATATAATGTTTTGACATTTGAAGCCTCTTTGAAAATTTTTCTTTTCAGCAAAGGTTTTTGTGAGTTCTGATAGTCCAAATTCAATATCATTTCCGATTTTATGGCATACTTGAGATTCTAGTGGTAAAGGAGCAATACGCATGACTTGCAGCTGTATGTCATCATCACATATACCAAGAATAAAAGTGTGATGTTGATGTTCAAACACTGCGGCCGTATGATAGAGACATTGACTGTCTTTATCACAGGCAACACGCCATCCGAGGAAACTCATGCAATAAGCCACAAGCCGATAAAACACAAACGTGGCAAAGGAGTCGAATCGAAAACATAAGATTGACGAATAACTCCAATTTTTTTCAAAGATGTCTTTTTTGAAGGGTTTACTGTTCATGCATGGGACATACCAAGACATTTCAGTTTTCTTGTCACTTATAATGACAAGCATTCGCAGCCTCTCCATATAAGACATAAGCTCAACTTTGTGTTTAACATACAATGGTTCCTCTTTCCAAAGAGCATCGAGAAGTGTTTCCTTTAGTTCCCCTGTCTCGTTGAAACATTCCCATTCTTTAATATATCTTCTTTTACAGTCTGTGGTGACGTGATTCTTATCAGCAATAATTCTGCTGAATGCATTAGAGAACCATTGTATTCCAAGAATAACATGTTTATTTAGTCCTTTTTCGTCGAAATAGATAAGAATTCCATGTGCATGAAAAAATATTAAGAAATCAAAAATTTCATTTGTTTTCAATTGGTATTCTTCAGGAATTTCATTATTGACTTTTTCGATTTCATCAGTGGACAGCAGCGGCTGCCTTAGTTTTTTCAAATAATGTTCAAGTAAAGCCCAGGAAGACGGAACTTCAATCTTTGTGTCTAATTTACGAGATACTATGTCTGCAATTGCAGATTTTATGGACTGTAGAGAATTCTTACATCCTTTGTTCATTTCTTTTTGTCCAATTGCAAATTCATTTCCATCAATAGACTTGTAGAGCCATGATTTGTCTTCTTCTGGAACGGCACGCCAAAAGCTCTCAAAGAATTTTTCTATTTCCTGATTGAAATTTAAAAAAATATTATTTTAATGTTCATTTTATTTCTTTTTAAGTATACTTTACTTTTAAATCCATGACTCACTTAAAATATATCTTAAGAAAAAGTGGTACCAAATATTAACTGAACAAACACTCTCTGATGAAACATATTGGTGTCTGTATTTCATTTATGTTATATAAAACATTTGACGTGACAAAATTACAAAAGATTAGTGATCAACATACGGAGTATTATTTATGCTCCGTTGTAAGTTGATCTGCTTGCAATAATCAAAAAAATTAATTTCGACTCCGTACAACACGTAGAAACAAAAGTTGACTGTAACTTTAGATTTTAAAAACCACCAAGTAAAGAATGGGACAAAACGCCACGGACAGTAAAGATTAAATGTTTGTTAATTTAATTCATCCATTTCATAAATCAAACTAATTGAATTCGCTAAGTTTCTAAGGACTGGTATTGCAAAGAGTATTTAACTGATTAAAAAACTTCAATATTTATACGTGGGTTATTAATGTTTGAAATCTCATAAAAGTACAATGTTTAACTTATTTTACTCGTCAGAGTAAACACTTCATATTCTTTTTTGTAATTAATTTTAACCACTGGGGAAAAAGTATATACACGTATTAAATTTAATGGTAACAGTTTTTGGAAAACCATTAAAATATTCAAAAAGGCTAATTTGAAAGTTTAACTAGATCATGGGATAATGAAGGATATCGAGATAACGAACCGTATTCAATATCGAAGTCCATAAAACAATAGAAATTAGAAGCAGAGCAAACACGGACCTCCAAAATGTCAGAGATGGAATCACGTGTCATAGAGGAGTGCGCATCCCTTGCCGAACGGTCATGCCGTGTGCTCCTTGTCATGATCATGAAATAACAGAAAATCCATCGTCAATTCGGTGTATATATAATGGACAAACAATTAGTAAGAAAAACGTCAGTCAGCATTTGACTCAATGATAAATTGAATTTGAGATTTGAGACTTTGACTTTGAGATTGAATGCTGTTCGTTATCACCATATCCTTCCTTTGCTGATAAGGTAAGTGTATCGACCATAGAACATACGAAATGATGACTTGTTGATATTCTTGTTTCATAAACTTGTTTGTCAATAACTTACCTCGTTTTAGAAATTGTTCATACGTAGGACTCTTGCGTATCGAATCAAATGAGATATAAAAACCCCGTATGCAGTATATTGCTGCATAAGTAAGGGAAGCTGACGAAAGAAAAGTAAAAGTCATCACGTTTATCATAGAGCTCGGTTGTTAGATGACCATTAACGTCTTTTTCAAGTAAAATATCTAAGTATGAAACAGATGTGTCAGAGTCTGTGGAATCTTTTATCTGAAGCTCACCAGGAGATATCCTATATACATAGGAATGGAAATTACCACTGTTAATAGACAATTCGTCGTCGATATATCTAAATGTCGATTTAAAGGCCACTGCAAGTGTTTTCTTCTTTTCACGCACAGACTGAACACAAATTCTGCTTCATATGAATACAAAAACGGTCTGCCAATAACGAAGCTCAATTGGTACCCATGTAGAATAAGGGGGCAATACTGTGCCTTAATTAGAAAATTGATCCTATATTATACATTAGAAAACTGGATTTCACAGTTGTCTAAAATTATTTGTCGTCATTTGTGAAAAAAAATTATTATTTGGACTACTCCTTCAATTCAATAGATGGACATTACTAGACAAAGCATTTTTGGCATCTAACAACAAAACTACTTCGTTTGAAAATTTAACATAATCTGTACAGAATAATATAACTTTCATGACAAAGTAAAATTTCCATTTTTGTTTTGATTAATTTGTTATACTTTTTCTTACTTGACAAATATTTTTTGTAATGTTCATTATCATTTTGCACACGTATATTGGCAGATAATAATAAAAAGTCACAGAATAGTTCATGACTTACATCCTTTGTTTTGCCCTCTGCGTGTGTTGCTACTAGAAGTACTGAAGCATCAGAACCACCGAACGATTTGATGGAGTTGATCCAGTATCGTAAATAATCTGCAAATAGAATATGAAAGAAGTTATACATCCATCTGAGTTATAGAAACATTTCTATGTAGTTGTATAAAAAGGGTTTGCTAAAAACCACTCTAGTGACTCGCTTTTGAAGTTTACATAGTTTCCTAAGGTCGTCTTAATTCCTCATATTGCTCCAAACAGTACAACAGTAATTAAAATGAGGAAAAAACAATTGTATGAAAAAATGTTGTCAAAAACTCAAGAGAAAGAATGATCTTAATCTAGACAAAACACCTTTTTTGCTTGCAAGTCTTTTCGTTAAAATTTGAACATGTTCTGACCACGTTAGACATCTGTCAATGTAAACACCAAGAAGTTTCGCACAAGATACATTTTCAAGAAAAATACTGAGCTGTATACACTTCACGCTTTGTACCTCTCAAACCTTCAGTACTGTTCATTGTAATAAGTTTCGATAAAATTTCCTTCCATCACACATGATTTTTAAAATTTGTCAACGACTGTATTGCAAGTCTTAAACTCATATTCTAATAAATAAAGGAAGGTTATTAACAAATAAGATATAATTGAGATTTTAACCCATGGAAATTCCATTAGGTTGTTGGAAGACCTGGTCTCCAAAAATCACATAGATATTGTCAATAAGAAACTCAAGCATCTTTTAAATGTCAACATCAGATGACTTGTGTGTACAATCAGGATGCTTTTTTGCTAGCGCTCTCGAGCGCTAGCAACTACGTTGGTCCAAATTCCTTGAATACGCATGCTCGGCCGCCATGGCCGTGCATTCTGGGAAAACTGAAAACTATTACAGATAGACCGTGCGATAACAATTTCGTTGTATCATGTTGTAGCATGAAATAATTGTTTATTTATTGTGTAGCTTACACTTTAAAGATAACTTCATATTTATAATAATTCAAATTCTGTTTTTTTTTTTTTTTTTTTTTTTTTTTTGCTGACGGAAAAGCCCGAGTCATTATATGTTTGTTCTAAACAATGACAAGGGAGTTTTTTTTTGTTTGTTTGTTTGTTTGTTTGTTTGTTTGTTTGTTTGTTTTTTACACCTAAGCACAACCAAAGAAAGATTCTAATTTCTGATTGGTCAATTCAGCCAATCTTACAAATTCCAGAAACAGAAGCAAGAATTTACACTAAAAATAACGAATAAATCCACTATTTGTGTTAAAAAAAATTCTGATGTGTATGGCTTTTTATGGAAAGCCGTAGGGTACCCTCACATTATTATTATATTTTCCTATATATCTATACCAAAAATAATTATCTCATCCAAACTTGCTTTTTACAACATTATTATTATTTTCCTGCAACAATTATAATCTTGTCTGTTAAATGTGTACACATTATTATTATTTTGTCCTACAATTATAATGATCCACTTCACAATAATAATCTTGCCAGTCAATGTGGACACATTATTATAATTTTTCGCCTCTTGATTATAATCTTGTCAGCCGATGTTTTAAAACATTATTTTTATTTCACCTCAAAATTATAATAATTATTCTTACTTTTAACAATTATAATCTTGTTTGCCCGAGCGAACACATTATTTTTATTTCGCTTCAAATTTATAATAATTATATTCCACATCGATCATACAATTATAGGGTGCGTTCACAATTCTCCCATTGGTTAATGTTGGTGGTGTTATTTACCAATGGCAAAACATTGGTACCAATGTTTACTATTGGTAACTTTTATTGGTAACCAATTTTGCAGGCCAACCACATCTCTGGCAGATTGGTAACCCAGATTTTTTCGTTTATTAGTGTCAACCCCCAAGATGGCTACCTGGACCGTTCCTGGTAGCATGAGTGAAGTTTCCTCACTAGTAATAACACTTCAGATGAATATTCTACTACAATATAAGGGGAAATATATGTTATCTTTACATAGTATTCCAAATTTCAAACAAATGATTACTTGTATTGGAAAAAGAATATCACCTGAAGACAAGTTTTCATATACAGGTGACTCTCGATCTCTCGAAGTTCAAGGGACCGCGAGAAAAGTTCGAGAGATCGAGGGGTTCGAGAGATGGAAAGTAAATAAAATCCGGAATTTTCAGTTCCGATCATCGAAGTTCTACTTTTACAGATACCGGAAGTATATGTTAATAATGTCATTGCACGTCTTCAATCGTATTTTACAGGTAATTTACTTGATTTCAACAACAATGATTGTATTTCAAATAAATAAAACGAATTCCTAAATATTCAATATTTATTTGTTCCTATTACATGATGACATGAAACCCGAATAGCAATCGCAGGTTTGGCTATTCCGCGGCTTGATCGGGTCCTTCACCAGTGTTCACCAGATTTTTCTTAATCGGTATTCTGTCCTTGAGAAAAGAATTTCTTGTGTAATATTTCCCATACTGGGATTATGTAGACTCTATATAATCAAAATGAATGTTCATAGTCTATGAGAACTTACTAAAACGAACATCTATAAATTAATTTAAAAATAATTATCGTCTCGGTTTCAATTCAAAATAAGTTGTGAATTTGTTTTTAATTTACCCCGTGAATAATAACCAATTAATTAAAACAACACACTGACGACCCACAGGTGTAGTGTCATCTATGTAAACAACCAATTAACACCTCCATGCCAGCCCAAGACCTTCACGGTTTCCAGGTAAGTCCAGACGGCATCAATTTTACGCTTGACTGGTTTGTATACACGCGCAATCAACTTCGAGAGATAGAGAGTAAAATTCAATGAAATATGCGTAACGGGACCCAGGTTTTGGTTCGAGAGATAGAGAACTTCGAGAGATGGAAGTTCGAGAGATCGGGAGTAAATTTGCTTACTTATATAGAGGGAAAAAACGGGACCGGAGGTTCACTTCGAGAGATAGAGAACTTCGAGAGATCGGAGTTCGAGCCATCGAGAGTCACCTGTAAAGTTATGTCCATAAAAGTAATTTATTTTGTTTTAGGAATACAATAAACAAACTTCATTTTGAATTTGTTGTTTCTGGAAAATGGTGAATAACTCAACATTTGCCGTTGGTTACCATTGATTACCATTGGTGACCATAAGTAACCAAGCGTTACCATTATTCACTATTGACAACCATTGGTACAGCCTTTGGTTGTTTTGTCATTGGTTTACCAATATGCTGTTCACAGTTTAAAGGCAACCTATTGTACCATTGTTCAACATTGGTGCCAAAGACAAGCCAATGGCATATTGATATTTGTACCAATGGAAGAATTGTGAACGCACCCATAATCTGTCTCTCCAACAATAATAATCGCGACCAAAAAAGTTGCAACATTATTATTATTTAGACGCTTGAAATCAAACGTTTGTGTGATTTTGATGTACTGAACAATTATAATCTTGTTGCTAGCGCTCTCGAGCGCTAGCAACTACGTTAGTCCAATTCCTTGAATACGCATGCTCGGCTGCCATGGCCGTGCATTCTGGGAAAACTGAAAAACTACTTCAGATAGACCGTGCGATAACAATTTCGTTGTACCGTGTTGTAGCATGAAAGAACTGTTTATTTATTGTGTAACTTACACTTTAAAGATAACTTCATATTTATAATATTTCAAATTCGGGGGGGGGGGGGGGGGGGTTTGCTGACGGAAAAGCCCGAATTATTATCTGATTGCTCTAAACAATGACAAGAGATGTTTTTTTCCCTTTTTTTATTTTTCTTTTTTTTTTTTTTTTTTACATCTAAGCACAATCAAAGATAGATTATAATTTCTGATTGGTCAATTCAGCCAATCTTACAACTTCCAGAAACAGAAGCAAGAATTTACACTAAAAATAACGAATAAATCCACTATTTGTGTTTAAAAAATTCTGATGTGTATGGCTTTTAACCTAACATATCTTGACAAAGATGACCCAAAGGACCAATTAAGCTACTTCACATGCGTTCCAAACTCTCTGTACTCTTTACACGACATACACTTTGAGTTATTTTCTATATTCCTTTCAACTCCCATTTATTTTTTTTTCTAAATTGCCAAGAAATTCTCTTCTTTAAATCAGCTCATACATGAAATGTCTCAATCGGCATCTTCTTCATATCATATAGACCCCCCCCCCTCCAGTAAAGGTCATATATGTTCCGTTGCGCCAAAACTCCAATAGGTCACCCCCCCCCTTAGTTCTTAACCTTTGTGTCTATAAATTACGCCTCACAGAACAATAATAACTTTATCACTCTCCAGCCTTTATAAAAATTAAAGAATTCATCAAAATAAATCACTTGATCACGGATCTTCCTTTCTGTGTTTGAAAATGCTACAGCGCTAGCTCACCTATCTTTTTAAAAGATAAACTTGTAACAAAATTATTTTGTTAACAACCAATGACAAGGTAAATTGATTTACGATTTCCATTTTTAGCTGCCGATGATATCAAAAAGCCTGGACTTTAATTTATCGCGGAGAATGGTGGTGTATAACGTTCAAAAGTCGTAAGTCTTTAAGCTGTTGGTTTTGGTAAGATCTTGTAATTTTAAATATTCCAAATTAAAGATCCATGGAATTTATACATATCCACATCTGATTAACACCACTTCTTAAATATATGGTTGCACAATACTCTTGACGTTTGTCCTTCACTGCTGTTAATATCTTAGTGAGAAGTAAAGAGAGAGAAGCTTGGTGGATCCTATACTGGAACCCGCTATGTATCTTTGTTTATAAGGAATTTTATGAATCCAATATAGATTTGTTAATTTAAAATCATTTTGTTTGTTTGGAATATTAAAAATACTCAAAACTGACATGTAATTTTGAAGAATTTCTTCCTTAGAAAGGGATTTCTGAGTATAAGTTGGATTACTATTTCTAGACTTAAATCCAAGTTCCTCGAAAATACATGTAATAAAATGAGCCTAACAAACAAAGACAATGTTGTTATCTGCTTTGTCAGCAGGGACTATTATGTTCTTATAATGTAATCTATCTAATTCTTGTTTTCACTTCTGCATTATTGAATACAGAGGGATAGATGGTTTTCACGAAATGCGAATAAAAACACATTTTATGCAATTTCTGATTGAAATCTGATCGACACATTTTAGAAATAAAAATCATAAGTATCCAGGCTTTTGAAGAAGTTGTACATTTTTATACATACAAGGTACATTGTACTTTAATTTCTTCTCTTAACTTCTTTCATTTTGCAAAGCTTAGTGTAAATAATGTTTCCTATCATTGCAAAACACCAAAAATCACTTATAATTTTATGTCATGTAAATAAACATTGGTACCTTGAGTTAAACCACTTAAATTAAAAAAAAAACATCAATTTTTTTATTTGTAATTTTAAGATACTTTTGTGGAGTAAAAATTTCGACCCGTGCAAAGAACTTTCTGAGAACTAAAATAAAGTACATGTACATCCACTGAGAGGTATAATACGAAAATTAATTATC